CACTTTCACTCGAAATGGAAGTAAGCACAACAATTATGAAACAAGCGATTCCTCGAAACCCAACTTTTCTAAGCATATCTTTGTTTATATCATGAGTGAGTTTCTTTTTAGAGATTACCAGTAAATCAGATGTATGAGTTGTGTTTACCCAATTTTATTTAGAGTGATGATAGACTGATAGTTGATTTTTCCAACAATGAAACGAGTAGAACTGATGTTTCCCATTGAATTTTACATAGCCCTGCTTTCTTAAAATATGTTCTCATCCACATTGCCACGGGTGCCATTGAGTCACAAGACAGATGTGAATTTCGAGGAATGTCAACATCTTTTTATATCACATTATTTAATGGGATTGTCGATAAAGCAATCTTATCTTTGCTAGAGCAATCGACGACATTATCTTTTTCGTAAATGAGTAGGCCTTCGAGACAACCTTTTGGGGAAAGCAATTTTATGTGAAATTAAATGGAAAACATCAGCTCTACTCATATCATTGTGGGAAAAATCAGCACCTTAAACGAAATTGAGTGAATACATCTCATATGGCTAAAAGACTTACCCAGCACTGGTAAAGTTCGCATCGACCTTGGAGCGTTTGAGGAGACAATCACGACGTACATTGTCATGCTGAGCACAAGGGAGACGGCCACCGAGAGTCGGTCACCGGTGTCGTCGAGGGTGAATATCAAGCAGGCCAACACTGAAAGCATGGAGAATGGCACGAGCACTAACACGATGAAGTAGAGGGGTTGGCGTTTCAGGTGGATGGCAATGCTGATGTACTGGTAGGTCGAGTTGCTGTCGTCGGTGTACAACTTCTGTTGAAATTTGACGTCCTGTATTTCCCATTCGCTAACGTTCGAGTTGGGCAGGAATTCATTATCCACGGTTGAGCCCTGTTGATAGGGCACAAGCAGCAGTTGCTGAATGTCACTATTCCAAGGAGTCAAGATCAGGTAGCACGTTTGATAGTCAAACGGAAAGAAGGAGACGTCCAACGGACAGGTGATGTCAAGAATGGCGCCATGCATCCACGTCACTGATCCGTTCTCCACCTTCAATCGGCTTCGCGTACCTGCACTGAAATCAAAGTCGGCACTAGACTTTCCATTCATTACACCAACGTCCGGCAGCCAGAGGTTCTGCGAGGGTATAGACACTTGGTTGATGTCTTTAAAAAGATTTCTGTCCCACTTCAGTCGCGGATCATTCCATTGCTAGGTTGAAAGAGGAAAATCACATGTTAACAGGGCAAATTATATTTGAACAAAACTTTTAATATTTAAA